TACTTATGTATATGTACAGCTGTAACTATAGATCTGACTAGATCAGTATTAATTCAAGATATGATACACAAGGATCATCAAGAACAAATTTAATGTATAAAATAATTTTGGAAGGAGCCATAGTAGAAAAAGTTTCTTGTATTCAACCTGTCTTTGGAGCATTACATTTTTAACAAGACGACGATTCATTTTTCGATTCATTTTTCGATTCATTTTTCTTGAAAAGTTGCATAAGTGCCCAACAGCCATGGAATAATATTATCACAAATAATTGCCCAAATAATTTTCTACCATAATCATGTACACAATGTCCCAGTTCCTTGTTTCAGAAGCTCTCAAAATTTGCAATTGCTTGACCTCCCAAAATAATATTAGGATCTTCCACCTCACATAAAACCAATTATTTTGCTAAGGTTAGTATTGAACAAGGAATAAATCCACCACTCATCTTCAGTAACTTCAGTAACTTCAAGAACAGTTTGAAAGAACAAATACACTGAAAGTATTTTGGGGGAAAAAATCTGTCAAAAAATTTGCTAAATCGGAGGTGGGGGAAGGAAATCCCAGAAAAGTAATTCCTGGCGCTTGTAAGCAAGGAAGACTAGGTCTAGTTAATACGTACATATTTATTTATTTTTAGAAAATAGGAGCCGCCTTCTCAATAAGAATGAACGCTGCCGCTAATCTTCTGCTCAACCATTGACACCACCCCCAGAAAGTCGCCGTCATTTTTACAAAGCTGTTTCTCTCGGCGGACAGGCTGAAAATCAGTTGCGCAGGACTGTTTCGAGTTACACGGGAAGTAAGGAAACCTAAGAATTAGTTCCGGAGCAGTTGGTGGAGAGGGGAGGGCAGAGGTATGGAAGTTGCGCCTGCGCATTGATTCACCTTTGTTTATCTTGAATTGGGAATTGGGCATGCTATTAGATGATGCTATTGTACGTTTTGTAGATTGGATCGGACAGAAGTACTATAGTTTGGTGCGGTGGGGTTCATGGAAATCGCTCGTAGGTAGGAATGTAAATTTGTCAGTGTCAAGTTAGTAACTTTTCTTAGGTTTGTTTTTTTTCAGCATCGTGGGCCAGTTGTTTGCACACTTATCTGGCTTTTGTGGCTCTCGTTTTCAGTGTTGTACAAGGA